TTGGATGGCCGTTTCCTTTTCTTTGTGAACCACCCAATTCTCCGAAAATTTGCACCCTGGGTCATTGTCCCCCTCGCTATCACCTTCATGATAATCTTCAATTCGCTTTATGTCTCCTCCTGCTTTCTTTCATGTATGTTTCCCCTTTAGCTTCGTCTAGCACATAGACAAAACAGGATCTCTCCTTTCCACCTGCCCCACTGTGACTCCCATTGCATACTCCTGATTTTTGTGTTTTAGTTTTTCCCGTGGGTGTTCCTTCTTCAGTCCATTCCCTAGTTATGGCCCCTATGCTTCTTGGTTGTCCTTCCTGCCTCACCTGTTCTGCGCCCCCACAGGTATCTGGTAAGGTCCTTGCAAAGTCCTAGTCTTCAATGTCTTCCAACCTCTCATTCTGTCCTAGTGTGCTCCCTGCCTTTGTTTTGGCCCCATGGTGGGTTTAACAGGACCTCTGCATACAGTTTAGTTTCCATGCTTCCTTCAGAACTGTTGTTCTGTGTTTGATGTAGCCATTGCCAATGCTACTTCTGTAATATCTTTGTCTCTGTGCTGTTTAGATGTCTCAGCTCCTCGTCTAATCTCTCTATCTTGATTTCTGCTGCGTGGCCTGTTGTTGCTTCCACTGCATTCTGCTGCTAACTCTCTTCCATCTTCTTTCCAGCTCATCTAGTCTCCTTCCCCAGTCTTCCTCCTTTTTTTGTAGCTCTACCTCCCATTCCTCCCTCCCAGATTCGTCCTTGGAGGCCCTTGTCCTCATCATGGTTCTAGGTTCCCCCCGTTGCTTCACAGAAGGGGGAAAGGGTGCGTTTGGCGGGAGGGGAATAGTGGTTTAGGAGGTCGAGGGTACTAGATGGATGGTAGTTGTGGGGGAGGGGGGGATGGTTATTGGAGGGAGGGGAGGTAGTTGGGGGGGTTAGACGGTTTGGGGGGGGTTAGGTGGTTTGGGGGAGGGTAGGTGGCTAAGGTGAGGTGGTTAGGGTAAGGAGGGGTGGTTTAGGGGAGGGGGGGGGTACGTGTTTGTGTCAAGTGTTTTTGTCAAGTGGTGGAGGGTGTGTGTAGGTGTGTGTGTGTGTGTGTGTGTTTGTGCATGTGTGTGTGTGTGTGGTGTGTGTGTGGGGATGTGTGGGTATTGTGTGTGTGGTATGTGTCGTGTGGTGTGGGTGTGTGGTGTGTGTGTGTGTGTGGTGTGTGTGGTATGGTGTGTGTGGTGTGTGTGTGTGTGTGTGGGTGTGTGTGTGTGATGTGATGTGTGTGAGTGCTGTGTGTATGTGCATGTGTGTGTTGTGTTTGTGGTGTGCTGTGTTTGGTGTGGTGTGTAGTGGTGTGTTTGTTGTGTGGTGTGTGTGGGTGGTGTTGTGTGTGGGTGTGTATTGTGTGTGTGGGGGTGTGTGTGTGTTATGGTCGTGTGTTGGTGTTGTGTGTGTGTGTGTGTGTGTGTGTGTGTGTGGTGTGTGTGGTCGTGTGGTGCTTAATGTGTGTGGTCGGTGTGTGTGTGTTCGTGTGGCTGTGACCTGTGTGTGTGCGTGAGTGGGTTTGTGTGTCGTGTGTGGTGGTGTTGTGTGCGTGTGTTTTGGTGTTGTGTGTATGTGGTGTGTGATTTGTGTATATGTGTGTGTGTGTGTGTGTGTGTGTTTGTGTGTGGGTATGAGTTTATGTATGTGTGTGTTTATGTGTTTATGTATGTGTGTGTGTGTATGTGTGTATCGTGTGTGTTGTGTATGTGTGTGTGGTGTGTGTGTGTGTGTGTGTGTGTGTGTGTGTGCTGTGTGTGTGTGTGTGTTTACCCTTGTGTGTGTGGTGCTTGTGTGTGAGGGGAGGGAGGTTAGGGGGTAGGTGGTGTGGTTGAAAGATCCGTAGTGTCTAGTTTAGGCACAAAATTTAGTCTCATTTATCTTTCCCAATTATGCTACTCTCTCCACTTATTGCCCTTTAAGGATTTACGCTATTTAATTGTTGCTGGTTATTATCATTTTCCTTGGTTCACATTGAGAGAGGACCTTTCTAGCTTCCTAGTATTTACTGTAATAACTACCGGTAGTAAACACTGCCTGTAGCTGCATGTGTACAGGTTGTGTGTGTGTGAGTGTGTGTGTGTGTGTGTGAGTGTATTGGCGGTGTAATGACTGGCCCCGCAATTCTTGTGACCTGACACAACACCTCTGGGACTTGACCGACCAGCCGCACCGTCTTACAATGTTGCACTTAAAAGCTTGTCCCACCTACCTTCTACACTCGTCAACCTCTATTACTTCACTATGTCTATGCTATTTCTATTTCTAATTATGGTAATAGCTTGCAGGAGTGAGTGGACCAGTAGCAAACAGTATGCAGGCCCAGCTGGGCCGTCAACATTGCAAACCACAAATAGGCGAATAAAATTGCGCTCCATGGTGCGGGGTGACAGGTTGCCAGTGCTGATGACGGAGTCGTCGTACGTAGGCCCTTAACAAATCCCTATTTTGGAGATCTTCACCCGTGTGTTTATAACCATATAATTCTCATACATCCCGCTTCCTCATTTGCAATGTCACTCTTAACTGATGAGTATACACTGTCACTTATATGTATAAAGGCGCACAACTTGTTTTGACGTCAACTTTTCAGGCCTACCGCTGCATGTGGCACAGCGCTAAGGAACCCCCAACGGTTTTGCGCTTTGAAATATTATGATTTTCAAGCTTTCTCTCACTTTCTTTAACTAATAACTTTAATTTTCACTCATAGTATTGTTCACTGTATGTTCCATTACCACTGATTACTGCTAGTGTTATTGCTGCCTTTCAACGCTAAGGTTCTCGGGAGCCTTGTTCCCCACGTCTGACCCCACGGACCCATGCGTATGTGTGTGTATGTGTGTGTGTGTGTGTGTGTGTGTGTGTGTGTGTGTGTGTGTGTTGTGTGTGTGTTGTGTGTGTGATGTGTGTACAGCTATTCAATTGCCTACCAGCAGATCCTGTTCTCACATTGTGTGCGTTGTATGTGTAATGTGTGGTGTTGCGTGCGTTTATGATAAGCAGTTCCTTATTTCCCTCTTGGACTACATATGTTTTGCATATGTTACCTATCTCTTGGGTTTCACTGTACTGTCTTTGTTGTGCCTAAAATTAACATAAATTCACATAAAGGTGTGAAATCCTGTGTGTGTGTGTGTGTGTGTGTGTGTGGTGTGTTGTGTGTGTTGTGTGTGTGTGTGTGTGTGTGTATGTACTGTTGTGTATGTAATGTGTGTGTTTGTGTGTGTGGTGTGTGTGCACGTGTGTGTTGCATGTGTGTATGCGTGTGTTTATGTAAGCAGTCCTTATTTCCCTGTATGTATAATATGTACCCAATCTCTTGGTTCCCACTGTACTATCTTGTGCCTAAAATATACTTTCAATTCTGTATGCTAGGCTTCGCTAGGCTACCTTCATACTAGGCTATCATTAACTGCTTAACTCTCCTAAATCGCATAACATTCTATTAAATGCAGTAATGATTGTTTACTCTATTCTGATAGCTCGAGGTTGGTGGAGAGTGACCCCCAATCTTCAGCTAGAGACTGGTGCTGACCCATGCAACTCAAACTAGGTGAATATTACTTGCGGCTGGCTAGTGGAGTAATGTAGTGTCCTCCTGGGTCCCCAGTATGAAAATGCTTGATGTTCTCGGTAATTTTTCCACTAACTTCCTGTAGGCACTGTGGTTCTCTAGCTATCTATTTTTTTTTCACTCACTCACTGTATTTACTGACACATCTATTCGTACATCACTTATCTCACTGGATCTTGAGTCGCACTTTTATTCTTCAAATAACCCACTGCGTTTATTATGGCTACACTATTTAGGGCTGACACAACCGTTCACCTTCCTTCACGGTCCCTCCTCATAGTAACTGTCAATATTTTACCTAATTGCTTTTCTTGATCACTTATATTCCTTTTTTGGGGCTTTTGTGAATTTATTCACTCTTGCGTGCACAACGCCGATATCCCACACTCTTTCCCGTATGGTACGCAGGAAATTGCACCAAAACACGAGCTCAAACCGTGTGATACTCCTCCACGAGTGTTTGTGTGTGTGTATATGTTGTGTGTGTGTGTTTGTGTGTGTGCTCATGTGCATGTGTATGCTCGTGTGTGTGTGTGTGTGTGTGTACTCTCAATTGTACTCACCTAAATGTGGTTGCAGGGGTCGAGACTCAGCTCCTGGCCCCGCCTCTTCACTGATTGCTACTAGGTCCCTTCTCTCTTCCTGCTCCATGAGCTTTATCATACCTCATCTTAAAACTATGTATGGTTCCTGCCTTCACTACATCACTTGCCAGACTATTCCACTTCCTGACAACTCTATGACTGAAGAAATACTTCCTAACATCCCTTTGACTCATCTGAATATTCAACTTCCAATTGTGACCCCTTGTGTCTGGAATATGCTGTGTCTGTATGTCTGTCTGTGCGCACGTGCTCGTGTGTGTTTGTGACCCACTTAATATTTGTACTTATATCTCATTACAGTTGTGAACGGGTGTGGACGTGTCAGTGGCTCATTACCTTGTAATTTGCTCATAACTGTAACCATGTTTAGGAGTGTAGATGATTCATTTCCTTTGTAACTTGGTCATGATTGTGACCAAATATACCTGGAATTCATTACCTTTGTAACTTCTTCAGCTATCATAACTTTGGGGTCCAGTCCCTGGACACCTTATGTACCTCAGTAATCTTTTGACTACCGCCCACAGGATGGGTATGGGGTGCATAATAAAGATATTAAACTACTAAACTACCGCTGTAACTTGTTTAACTATCAAAACTTTGGGGTCCAGTCCTTGGACCCATTATGTGTGTGTAATCTTTTGACTACACCCACAGTATGGGAGTGAGGTACATAATAAAGATGTTAAATTAACTGGTATGTGAGACTTGCCTGGTATTGCAATGTCCCTGTCAGCTCTGTTAAATCCTCTCAAATCTTAGTCCCTCTCTCTTAATAGATTGTTTGAGGTGTGTATTGTATTACAGCTACGCGGTTGCTGACGCTGCTCACCGTGGAGTGTGGGAGAGGAACAGTGACCAGGTGGTGGTAGTGACAGGGGAGAGTGGTTCAGGCAAGACTGAAGCTGCTAAGCTAGTCTTACAGTATGTGGGAGCACTCAGTGCCCAGGCCCATCACAACACTCCCAACCACAGACTACTACAGTCCAACCCTGTATTAGAGGGTGAGTACATGTGTGTGTGTGTGTTTATTGTGTTTGTTTTGTGTATGTCTGTTTTGTATTTGTTTTTTGTTTTTGTTTGATATTTTCCATTTGTAATTACCTTTTGTAGTTGCAGTCGTATAACTGCTGGCAGTGTCCCATTTATTGTAACCATTTGGTGGCAGACAGCTAATCTTCAACACATGTCGTACACACCATCAACTTTCTGCTGTCATTACTGCATATTTTTTTTCATGAATTGAAATTACAGCTTCTTGTTCTTCCAGACAGTGGTGATAAGAAATCTTCTGTATCTGTCTTCTCATATTATTTTAGGATTTTTATAGGTAGTGACAATGTCTTTTGTGTTCCTCATGTTTTACAAAGACAGCTTTTCCAGTCTCTTCACTCTTCATGAATCACATTATTTAAATAGAATTAATTTTATTAAAAATGTAAGATTTTTTCTAATTTCTTAAGATGGCATTGCACTCACCTGCAGCACCTGGGTATCTCTATTCTGAAGACGTTTTGTATGATAATCTATGTAACTGTATTTGTGTATACCTGAATAAACTTACTAACCAGTGACTTTATTAACTCGGTTCAGAGTTTAATTGAAGTTGTTGAAACTAAAGGCTGTAGTAGATGAGGTAATTAGTCCCAGAGCCAAGATGAAGGTTTGTACATGTAACTTATTCATCAGTCTGTTGGATTTGTATACCATTACTTCTACCATGTAGGGAAGTGCAGGGGGAAGGAGGGGTCAGGGAGGAAGCCTAGGTGCTGTCCTGTCCTTATTATTTTACAAGTGAAGGGCTTCACTGCTAATGGTATGTGTCTTGTGTGTGTGTGCATGTGGTGTTTTGTGTGTGTGTGTGTGTGGTGTGTGTGTGCACCCCTTTTGCATGTGTGTGTGGGGTGGGTGCACACACTTATGCATGTGTGTGTGTGTACGCACTTGGGCATGTGTGTACTCACCTAATTGTGCTCACCTAATTGTGGTTGCAGGGGTGTGTGTGTGTGTGTGTACTCACCTATTTGTACTCACCTATTTGTGGTTGCAGGGGTCGAGTCCTAGCTCCTGGCCCCGCCTCTTTACCGGTTGCTACTAGGCCCTCTCCTCCCCGCTCCATGAGCTTTATCAAACCTCATCTTAAAACTGTGTATGGTTCCTGCCTCCACTACGTCATTTTCTAGGCTATTCCACTGCCTTACAACTCTATGACTGAAGAAATACTTCCTACTATCTCTCTGACTCATTGTGTCTTTAACTTCCAATTGTGGCCTTTGTTTCTGTGTCCCTCCCTGGACATCCGTGTCTTTGTCCACCTTGTCTATTCCACGCAGTATTTTATATGTCGTTATATGTCTTCCCTGACCCTCTGTCCTCCAGTGTCGTCAGGCCGATTTCCTTAATCTTTCTTCATAGGACATTTCCCTTAGCTCTGGAACTAACTTGTCGCAAACCTTTTACTTTCTCTAGTTTCTTGACGTGCTTTATCAAGTGCGGGTTCCAAAACAGGTGCCTGCATACTCCAGTTGGGCTCTGACATACACGGTGTGTGTGTACTCACCTATTTGTGGTTGCAGGGGTCGAGTCACAGACTCCTGGCCACGCATCTTCGCTGATTGCTACTAGTCCTCTCTCTCCTGCCCCATGAGCTCTATCATACCTCGCCTTAAAACTATGTATGGTTCCTGCTCCACCACATCACTTTCTAGGCTATTCCCATGGCCTGACTACTCTATGACTGAAGAAATACTTCCTAACATCCCTTTGATTCATTCTGAGTCTCAACTTCCAATTGTGACCTCTTGTGTCTGTGTCCCATCTCTGGAACATCCGTCTTTGTTCCACCTCGTCTATTCCGCTCAGTATTTTATATGTGTGTGTGTGTGTGTGTGTGTGTGTGTGTGTGTGTGTGTGTGTGTGTGTGTGTGTATGTGTGTGTGTGTGTACTCACCTAGTTGAGGTTGCGGGGGTCGAGTCCGAGCTCCTGGCCCCGCCTCTTCACTGATCGCTACTAGGTCACTCTCCCTGAGCCGTGAGCTTTATCATACCTCTGCTTAAAGCTATGTATGGATCCTGCCTCCACTACATCGCTTCGAAAACTATTCCACTTACTGACTACTCTGTGGCTGAAGAAATACTTCCTAACATCCCTGTGATTCATCTGTGTCTTCAGCTTCCAACTGTGTCCCCTTGTTACTGTGTCCAATCTCTGGAACATCCTGTCTTTGTCCACCTTGTCAATTCCTCTCAGTATTTTGTATGTTGTTATCATGTCCCCCCTATCTCTCCTGTCCTCCAGTGTCGTCAGGTTGATTTCCCTTAACCTCTCCTCGTAGGACATACCTCTTAGCTCTGGGACTAGTCTTGTTGCAAACCTTTGCACTTTCTCTAGTTTCTTCAGGTGCTTGGCTAGGTGTGGGTTCCAAACTGGTGCCAAACTGTGTGTGTGCGCTTGTGCGTGTGTGTGTGTGCATGCACTTGTGCGTGTGTGTGTGTGCATGCACTTGTCCATGTGTGTGTGCATGCAGTTGTGCACGTGTGTACTCACGTAGTTATGGTTGCAGGGGTCGAGACTCAGCTCCTGGCTCCTGTTTGTGTGTGTGCGTGTGTGTACCTTTAAAGTACTACCTACTATCATATTCCCAAGCTCCATTATTTGATCATCACTTTATTTGTTCACCACAAATTATTTTAGTCCCTTTTATATTGTCTCCTTTATTTTAGCTTTAAAAAACTACCTTAGCTCATTATTTTTACATTTGTTAAATAATTCAGGTGCTATTTTTTTTTAGCTTTAGAATATTTACTTTATTTTTTACTTAATTCTAACTATAGATTCACTACAAATTTTATGATTACAAGCATTGATCCTGATACCAACCTCTTATTTAATGACTTAAATGATTCAAACAGTTTACTGTAATTACTACACAGCAGAACAATCAAAGGCACTTCTCAGAGCTAACAACAACATAACTATCTTTAACTACAATATCAGATCTTTAAGCAAGCATTATGATGACCTCCTAGCATTACTAAATTCCTTGCATGCCAATATGTCATCATTACACTAACTGAAACCTGGCTAAAGCCTGATACTACAGATGTCTATGCCATTCCATGGTTACAACAGCCATACACAACTGTAGGCCAGACCAACAAGGGGGTGGCACTGCTATATACTACTCAGACCAACTAGAATGTATCACTAATACTTGCACAAGGGATGAACATGGGGAATATATAATAGATAAATTCAAATCCAAATACCTACAAAAACCTCTCACAGTGATAAACATCTACAGAGTTCCACAATCAAACATTAGCCAATTTAGTCAAAACCTAGGAAGTATGATAACTGATGCACGCATGAACAAAGATCAACTTACTACTCTCAGGTGACTTCAATATAAATCTCCTGCAAGACCAGGACCACACGTTACTGAATTCACAAACACAATGAGTAACTGCATGTTGCTACCAACAGTAACAAAACCTACAAGAGTTACAGAGACTAGTGTTTCCCTACTTGACCACATCTGGACCAACACCATATCCCCTTTAAAATCAGGCATAATTACAGATAATACCACAGACCACTACCCTACTTTCCTCATAACAACTCTTGGTAAAATACCCCAAGGGACACTACTAAAGTCACCTTCAGACTTCACAATGAGGCAGCCATTAATAACTTCACAAACAGCAGTAACAAACATTGACTGGCACACTGAGCTAGAAATCTATACAGATATTGACGAATGTTTTAATAATTTTCTAAAAAAGACCAATACCTTTATAACAAGCACTGCCCTAAAAAAACTAAACAGATGACAGCTAAGAGACTGAACAGTCCCTGGCTAACACCCAGCATTCTCAAATCCATAAATACAAAAAAACCGATATGAAAAACAGTACAGAATGGGTCACATAACCAGAGACCAAACAAAACGTTACTCGTCAATCCTAACCAGCCTGATAAGAAGGGCAAAAAAATTGTATTATGAGAACAGATTATCCAACTTACGAGGTGATATAAAAAAGACCTGGAAGACCTATCAGAAATTCTGGGAACAAAAAAGATATCACGACATAGTGAAATAAAATTAGCAAAATCAGATGAACCCCAACTCCCACCAACAGAAACAGCAAACAGACTCAATGATTTCTTCTCCACTATAGGTCAAAACCTTGCCAATAAAATCCCAAGCTCAGATACCCCACCAAATGACTACCTCACTGGCAACTACCCGAACACACTGTTCCTAGCTCCGACTAACCCATACGAAGTCTCCCTTATTATCAACGCACTGAAAACAAGGCAGGAGATTTAAATACCTTACCACCCTTTATATACAAAAAAGCGTCACAAGTACTATCACCAATCATTGCAACACTCTTTAACAAATCCATTGAATCCTCCACCTTCCCTACAGTTCTCAAAATAGCAAGGGTCACCCCGATCCATAAAGGAGGAGACCAAAAAAGAGTTGAATAACTATAGGCCAATATCCAATTTACACCCTCTCTCAAAAATCTTCGAAAAATTAATTCATAAACGAATCTACTCCTACCTCATCTCCCAAAACATTCTCAACCCCTGCCAATTTGGATTCAGGCCTAAAAAAAATACTAATGATGCTATTATACACATGCTAGAACATATATGCACTGCAATAGAGAAAAAAGAAGTCCCACTGGGGATCTTCATTGACTTACGTAAAGCTTTTGATACAGTTGACCATGACTTGCTCCACGTAAAATTGTCACACTATGGTATTAGAGGGCACTCCCTCAACTACCTCAAGTCATACCTCAGCAACAGAAGCCAATATGTGTACGCAAATGGGGCAAGCTCTTCCGCACAACCAATTACAGTTGGTGTCCCACAGGGAAGTGTCCTTGGCCCTTTCTCTTTCTCCTATATACATAAATGACCTACCAAATGCTTCGCAATTACTCAAACCCACACTTTTGCAGATGACACTACATACGTCTTCTCTCA